GGGACAGTTTGCCCACTTTGCTTTAGGGAATGGGGTTTTAAGATAAAACAACAGAAAGTCCTTTTTTAACAGTAAATCCTTAAAAGACATAAGATTTTATTTTTAAATTCCACCAATAATTAGCCTTGGGGCAAAATGACTTGGAGGATAAGCAGATTTTATCTGTTTGTCCGACTTATAATGGTATGTGGTCAGCCACCATCAATTCAACTTTCAACCTCACAGGTTTAATCTGCTCATTTGCTGGTGTTGATGGACACTTACTATCAGTCAGATCCCTCTGAATTCAAAATGATAAACTGATTTAAAAACAACTCCAGATATTTTTTTTCCTTTTCTCATTTTGCAGTTCTTATTAAAGAGTTGCTTTTCATTTTCATCCTTTCATTTGATAGTAGAGGTTTTTTCATTTACAAAATTTTGGACTGATGAAGGTGAGTTTGCAGTATTGCTCCTAATTACAAATTATAAATTTTCTTGATTTCTCCCACCCATCAAGGCAAAATTGAATGTTATTTTGTACTTCCTAATAGTTTTCTTACACTACTATCATAGTACTTGCCGCATTGCTGTAGTCTTGGCTCTCCTTCTAGATGGCAGCCTTACTTTATTCATCTTTATATCCCCATGCTTGGCACATAATAGGCTGTATAAGAAAAGTAAAAAACTTAGTGATGCAGCCAGCGCATGCTAAAAGAGTATAGCGAATCTGGTTGGGGAAAACGCTTTGAAATGATGGGAATGATTATTGATCTCTTAAAGGTTTAGGAAGAGAAAGGTTATAGACAGAAGGCATATATAGGTAAAAAATAAAAGTGCGATAGCAGGACTTATTTACAGGTCAGTGAGTCTAGTCAATTACATTGGTGAATTATAAGTGATAAATTAGACATAGATTGTACAGAGCCAGATTATAGAGAACTGAATACCAGACTGAGGAGTTTTAATTGTCCTTTGGTATTGGGAAACTAGTTGATCAGTAAAATAAATAAAGAGAGTGCCTCTTTTCATGTTGCAGGGGTTGGCCCTGAATTTAAACTCTATATGTAAATTTTCGGGGATGGTCTCCTGATTTTATTGGTTGATTTATATAGATCTCTCTCAACTCTGAAAATTAGGTATTTTAACAGCTCATAGGTAGAAACAGGCACCTTAATTCATATATTCTGTGCTCCGGCTGTTTGCTGTTCTTTGTAAACACCCAGTGAATGCTTACCTTCATGGCTTTGGTGGTTTTGTTTCCTTTGCTGGAAATTGCTTTCTGTTGCCGTGTTTCCAGCTCCTACCCATCTTTCAAATCCAGCTCAAGTTCCACCTCCTCTAGAAAAGCTTTACCCTGTTGGTCCGCAGTGAAGTAATTTTTCAGTGATTGGATCCCATAGTTCGTTTCTTGTAAGTCCTTGTTATGTACATCTTCTCTTTCCCTCTTAGACTGTAAGCAATGGCTAACATAATGCTGTACATATTTTAGATGCCAGTTAACTACGTGGGATTTTTCTTTTTCATTTTTTTAAAGAAAGCATTTTTATTTTTTAGGCAAGTATTTTATGAGGGTAAAGTAGGGGAAGGAATGGGTAAAAGAAGGAACAAAATAATGGTGAAAAGATCTTAAAGGCAGAAATTAGAAAGGAAATGAGGTAGAATAAAAGGGAAGGAATGAAAAGGTATGCAACAAGGATTTTTCTTTGAATTTGCTAATCTTCTATGTACGTCCTGTTTTAGTTGCTGAGTGTCATAACCATTTTATGTTTTTCCCTGGGGAATCTAGAGGGCTTATTTGAGTTTATCAATAATTGTTGATGTTACAATTTGAAAGCCTGCTATAATCTTATTTTTTTGTCATTAAGACTTAAATACTTCTCAAGGATTTCCTAGTTAATATTTAGTTACTGAAAACTATAGTTTTTTTAGCTTTTAAATTTTAATAGTAAAATAGATTATTGTGAAACATTGCCACAAAGCCATATTAAATTTGGGGAGAGAAAGGGGAGTAATATCAAGGAAGATCTCTGGAGTACTGACTATTTCAGAGTTTGAGGAGAATCTTTGCGTTTGTACGTTCACCATACTGTTGAAGCAAACTCATTCTCAGATCAGAGCCTGAGCTTTTAAATGCTGAGATAGGTAGTGCTTTCTTTTTATCAATTTTGACCATTTATTTTGTGGGCATATTTTTTAGAGATGACTTAAATCTCTCTAGATAAAAATCAATCTCTTGTCCAAAAGCAAGTAAATATTTACCTTTTTGGCATGCTGTGATAATAACATGGTTATTTTAATTTTTTTGCACTATGTACCATAAGCTAAAGAAGTGTCTATTTTATGTTATTTGCATAGCTTTTAGGCAAAGCAAATACCATTTACTGGTGTGATAAATAGATAGAAAGCTTATTCTGCAGTTTTTTAAAGTGATAAACTACCACTATCTGAAGTTTATTTGACAAATCATTTTCTGTAAATAATTGGTATGTTATTTTCCACTGATTTTTTGACAGCTGGCTCAATTTTTCTTTAAATATTAAGTCGTCATTGTTGTTGAACACTGTTCAATGGTTTTAGATCAGGGTAAGACTTAGAAAAATTGTACCTTATAAAAGTAATAACTAGCTAGTAAGTTTGAGAGCCAGTATACTATAGTGGTAAATAGTTTGGACTGTGGATCCAGAGAAACGGGTTCTAAATACATCTCTGCTGCTGTGCAGTCTTGGGACGTTTCTTAACCCTTTTGAGCCTCTGTTTCCTTATCTGTGAAATGGGGATAGGGTCGTTCATTTTTTTCAACAAATGATAAATTTATTGAGCTTCTACTCTGTACCAGGAACCATACTATATTTTGGATAATAATAGTACCTTCTGTCATAAGATCATTGGAGGGATTAAATTCGAATGCATGTAAAACACTTAGCAGAGTATTTAGAACATAAATGATGAATAAATTTTAGCTCTTATTATTAAAATATCCCAAATACATTTTTAAAAATTGTGTAAGAGCCAAAATTGTTTCAGGGAATAATTATATCTCCAGGATACGTCATTAAATTATGATAATCCTATGTGTTAGTTTTTTAAAAACACTGTCATGAAATTCATATATTTTAAGGTTGACTCTAAAAACTAAAAGTTGGTGAGGTGTAACAGCTTTGAGAAAAAGTATAAATGATATTAATGCCAACATTAGTGTTTCTTTTAGGAGAAATTTTATATGTGCGTGTATAAATGTACATGCTGTGAACTCTATATTCTGTCTTTTAGGGTAGAAATATATGGACCACTAGGGACGTAATTATATTAGGACATAATTACATACATGTGGTATTTTTTTTAGACTTTTTTTTTTTATTTTGAGGAAGATTGGCCCTGAGCTAACATCTGTTGCCAGTCTTCCTCTTATTTCCCCCAAAGCCTCAGTACATAGTTGTATATCCTAGTTGTAGGTCCTTCTAGTTCTTCTATGTGGGACCCTGCCTCAGCATGGCTTGATAAGTGGTGAGTAGGTCCATGCCCAGGATCTGAACTGGCGAACCCTGGGGCCACCAAAGCAGTGCACGTGAACTTAACTGCTATGCCACCGGGCCAGCCCCTAAATACATGTGGTCTTATTAAAGTATGGAACTATTATGTAATCTTTGGGTAATCCAGGAAATATTTAGACACCTAGAAAAGCTCTCTTTAACAGTATAAAAACACTATTTTAAACAGACTTATGCTGTGTGACAGTTTATTTTACAAAAGTAATGTATACAATTTTCCTATAAAAGTTGCCATTAACATATAGCTAGTCCAGAATTGACTATATTAAGTTCTGAATTTAAGAAAATGAGTATTCCCTCCTTCCTTTCTCTTATTTTCTCTCTTGCTTTATTGAAACACAGGTAAAGTTCTTTCCAGAATATTTTATACATACACACGTATAATTATATACATATACACATGTATATATTTCCCTCTCCCATTTTAATAAATAGTGATGGATGAGGAGGAGACTGGTCTGCCTTAGTTCTCTTATCTTTATTACTGTAATACTTATGACAGTCATTGATGTTCAGAATAATGAAATGTGTTAATTTTAGTTTCAGAGTCAAAAAAAGACATTTAATAGGTTCATTATAGTTTGTTTACTTGAAAGCTTTTCACTGGCTAGGAAAAAATTTCTTTCTTGTTTGAAAGTTTGGTTAATTATAGCATCTTATTTTACTTGTTGATTAGCTAATTAAGATTTTGATGTATTTTTTATGGTGAAATTTTTATTCTAACAGTTTTTGTGATTTATGGCATTTGATCTGTATACGTAAGCCTAGATCACTTTAGAAATAACCACAGCTACCATCAATTGAGTACTTACTCTGCCAGGCAGTGTTAAGGTATTGAATGCATTGAGTCAGTTGATCCTCACAACAACCCTGTGAGGTAGGTGCTATTATCTCCCTTTCTCAGATGAGGAAACGGAATCACAGAAAGGTTAATTAATTTACCTAAGATGATTCAGTAAGTATTATAGCCAGGATTCAAGAACTTGTGTGCTAGTCTTTACTGTCCAGTATTTAATTGCTGTCTCACCCAGATTTTACAATCAGGTTAACTATTTGAATAATATATAAATAAAGTCATATTAGAAAACCACAACAACAGAACAAAGTGTTGACTCTTACATGAACATTTGTTGAGCTCTATAAATAGTATTGGGTGATTGTATTAGACCGTACAGGAAGTTATCACCATAACAGATGGCTAGGCATTAGCACCACTAGAAATGGTAATCAAGATTTCAAAACCTGGGGTTAAAAAATATCTCTATTCATTAATGAATAATTTTTTACCTTTTTTTTCAGTGTGGTTTCAGTAATACTGATTTGGTTTTAGTAAATCAGCATTTATTATGGCAGTAGTCTTGATGAGTAGATCAACTCAGCTGTAGTCTGGTTCAATGATTATTTAATAATAGATGTTGCTAAAGTCTTGTTCACACAAGGATTAATTTTGTCTTCTTTTTCCTCCTGTAGTAAAATAAAACAGGGTCTGTTACCTAGCTTGGAAGATTTGCTGTTCTATACAATTGCAGAAGGACAAGAGAAAATACCTGTTCATAAATTTATTACAGTAAGTTTTTATATTTTTCTATCTTAACTTTTTAAAAATCAGTAATACTGAATCAATAATATAGTGATACTGAAATGTAGTTTTAAAGGTCATCTGACATGTCGATTCTGACTGACACTGTTTCTCTTATTATGTTTTCAAATTTTCATCATGCTCATTTCAAGGTAATCAGTGAAAGAAAATGAAAGAAACAATGAGAAACTTGTCCAGAAAGTGGGTAATAGTAACACTAAAATGCCATATACATATTCAGGTCTTGGGTGGAAGTTTTTATATACAGAAATAAAAACTTGTAGTTGGAATAAGCATATACATCATTTGCACTATGTATTTACAAACTCTTATTTTTTTAAAAACAGGCACTCAAATCTACAGGATTGCGAACGTCTGATCCCAGGTTGAAAGAGTGTATGGATATGTTAAGATTAACTCTTCAAACAACATCAGATGGTGTCATGCTAGACAAAGATCTTTTTAAAAAGTAAAAATTTCTGCCAAACCTTTAATGGTGATTTGCTATGCTATATGGTGATTTTTCTCTTAAAACAAAATAGCATCTTTGAAGGCCAGTGCTTCCTGTGTAACTGAAAAAAAAGAGGGGGGATTTATAAACATCAATTGTTTGAAGAACTGGTGCATGTTAAGGTTCTATAATACACGGGCTGAGAGTATACTTTCTTTGAAACTGCTCTAAGGAAATGTAGCCATGGATGTTTCTAATTTACGGTACCTGGCGGTTGGGTTGAGTTTGAATAGAGCACACACTTTGTCCTGTCATGGCTTAAATTGATCTCTAGTTCATCTGCATGTCTTGCAGGCTTTCTCAGCATGGTCTCTGTTCTTTTCTACGAGGTGATTTAGATGACATCATAAAATGAGAAGTCTTCAGACAATCTGTATTCCTTAGGTTTATATGTCTACATTGTCTGCTTCTCTCCTCTCTTCAGACAGGCTTTTGACTATTTTCATTTCCCTCAAAATACTTAAAAACTAAAGACAGCTTGGAGATTAATGCCTTGATTTGGTTGAGTGAGAATATTTATTTAGACTTTCCTATATTTGCCTATCTTTTTATTACTTATCTTCGTTAATGTGTTCCTGCTAGTCTGATTACTTAATAATTTAGTGGATAGCATGTTTGTAATGGATCCCAAAGAGGTAAATGGCATTTTAAACTACTAATAGTTAAGTGAAAACTAGTATAGAACTATAAACACTACTGTAAGACATTGGCTTTTCCCAGACCATAGACTTAAGTTGAGATAGATCCAAAGAGTTCCAGCATTTACCTTGAAAATTTATCTATATGTGTGTATATGTATTTTTCTTTTTCTTTTATTGTCTTTTGGGGGCTGGATGATTTGTTCTAGTTATCTCCTGGGAATATCCTGGAGTTTTAAGTCATCTGAAGCTATAAGTATTTATCTGAGGTCTTCCAAAGTTTCCTGGCATGCTGTGATGCACTGCTGACAGTTTTGGATTCTTGTCTTTTCACCACAAGGTTCTTAATTCTGTTAACTCAGCTGACTTTGTAAAGTGTAGATTTTAGGTCCATGTTGGAATTGGTGTTAGAAATTTTGAGTCTTCAGAACCAGTTTCTTTGTGGAGGGAAGGAAATCATTTCTAGGTAGCATTGCCTTTGCAGTAGGATTATTTTATTTTTAGTGTTCATGAACTATCTGTGCAAAGTATTCTTGATTATGGTGCCTTTTGGGGAGTTACTTTGGCATATCTGAGAATGAAGTCAAAGAGATGGTAGGTAGATCTGTTGATAATAGGTATGAGGAATTGCTTTGGAATTTTAAGTGAAAGCAGTATTTTACATCTTTTTAGTACTGTTTAAAATTTTTTTTGGTTTTATAAACACGTTGCTATGTTTAAATATGAACTTAAAAGTAATTTAAATATATGATTATGAAGCCAGGAAACATAATCATAAAATTTTCTACCCATAATTATATTTAAAAAAATAACAGTTACCATTATTTTAAACGCTAATCCAATTTTTAAAAAAATTGATGATTGTAATACAGGCAGTGCCCAACTTGACAAATGCTTAGTGGTATAGATGAGCAGGCAGTGGAAAAGTCTAAGTCTATAGGCATAGTGATTTCTCTTTTCATCCCTAGAATGAAGTGATTCAAAACCTTTTAACCTTTTTAGGTCACCTAAAAAGGTGATAAAAATTTCTCTGATTGCTCCAGAGAAATTCTTTCTCTGTTTTCAAAATAAGAGATTTTCTAGTTAGTGTTGACAGAAATACATCATCTTGCCTCCAGGCAGGTGGGAGGGAGATGTTACAATGGAATTCATTTTCCCAGAGAAATAATATATAAAGGTGGATAGGTTTAGTTGAAGTCAGTGTGTTGATATTTTACCTAAAATACATTGTTGGTTAATATATTTATCCTTTCAGGATAATCTGAGAAACAGCTATTATGTATGACAGTTTTTTTTAAATGGGAAAATGAGTTCTAAGCATACATTTTGGAGCATATTTCTATTTGTAAGTTGGAGACTGCCTGTACCCATCTAGATATCAATTGTTTTTAATGCCAATAATCCTTAAAACTAATAGAAGTAGAAAATTTGTGTTGAAAACCAATGCCTTATTTATTATTCATGCATTTTTAACCATATAAATATTAGAACTATTTTTATGTGTGATCATTATTTTTTGGTTTTTCCTGTTTTGGGGAAAAATAAGTGGTAGTCGTTGCATTTGTATATTGTTTGATTTTCTTAAAAAATTCATATCCATTATGTTATTTTGCTAATGAAAAATCGTATGTGAGATATTTTATAAAACATTGATATGCATTACAGTTGTTAATCATAAATGCTTAAGTAAAGAAGGAAAGAAAAATGATTATCATTCCCAGTTTACAGATGAGAAAACTGAACAAAGCATGAGAAAGACGTGACTTCCTGAAATGCATAAGCAATTGCTCCTCAGAGTTCATTTTATATGACTTCTAATTTTCTAGTTAGATTCGTGACATCTGTAATATAATAACTCTCGAGAAGAGCCTTATTGTTGGAATGCTCATCAGTGTGCAGTTAGACACTCTTCTGAGTGGCATGATTGCCTTTGTTGGCCAGTAATTCACCAGTGAAGGTTGTTACCACAGCTTTACCGGTCCTTTCTGATAGAGCAAAAAAAACCCTGTTTCACTGAGTGTACAATTTTGTTAATTGTAAAACCTCCTTATAAAAGTTCTGATTTTAAATAGTTAAATAGTAGTAGGTTGAGAATTTAAATTTGTTTGTCAGTCCTCATATTTTCTCACATATAACTTCTTGAAAAATGAGGATGTAGATTTGATTTGATACAGATACAGTGAATGAAGATCAGGAATTGTGAACTTTTTTCTGCTGATAAATGTGTTTTTTGGTATTTCTTGCAGCTCTTATATGTGCAAGTTGAATTGTTGTTTGAAACATATTAAATATTAAGTCAATGGCAAAACTTGATATTTTTTAGATTAACATTGAAACCATTAGAAAACAATTTATCGAAGTTTATTGAAGTAAATATTTGTTATCTCTGGGATGTCAATTATTTCTGTGTCTATAAGTTAATAATGGAAATTAGGACTGTAATTTTTTCATGTTATAAGTGGTGTACATCTTATCACTGAGAACAACCTATTTTATTTTAAATCAGTGCTTTAATTTTATCAGTGAGTATATATCCTGAAATTTTTTAATAATTAAAATGTGATATCTGGCTTTTAATTTTAATTTGATGTTTCATTTAGAACAACTTGAATTAAAATATTGAGATATAAAAATTTCTCATTTACTATGTACTGAAAAAGAAATACTGTCTACTCCCATTTCTCCATTTATACAAGTTATTTACTTGCAAGTTATTCATAGAGTTTTCTTATCTGTAAAGTGGGGAAATCATCCTTCTCAAAGGGTTTTGAGGGTTAAACAGGAGGAATAGTACTTGAAACTTAGTACTTTTTAAAAAATGCCAATTTGGGTTTTTTTCTCTTCCCCAAAGAAGCTGCTAATATAGTATCACATCACTTACCTGTGAGGAATATAATTACATAAATAACCTCCCATAGTTAATGGTTTGACTTTAATACTCCAGTTATACACATTTGGCTTTTTGTCTGTTAAGGGCTTAGTCTTAAATTTGTATTATGACTTGATGCTTATATCTAGCAGGTCTTCGTTTATCAATTAAGTATTCTATTACTGAATTACTGAGACTCTTAAGAAGATGAGCTTAGAGTATATGGTTGGCTGTAACCTATTTATAAAACTCTTCTTTAAGATTACATTAGTATATTGATTTTCTGGGTTAAATCTTTTTTAGAACAAAGCAGAATATTGGTTTAAATCATTAGATTTCATGCTACATGGCTTACCATATCTTTTAAACAGTTTTTAAGAAGGAAACATTTTTATTCTACAATGTATTATGTATCTTACAGTGAGTAGAATAATGTAATTTAACATTTTTGGTGATTCAAATAATATAAAATTAATTATACTGCTTTATATACAGTTTTCTTTAAAATTATTTATTATTTCTACAAGCATTTTAATAAGTACTTCATTTAAGAGACAAATTAATCAGATTAAATAAATTTATTTTATCTCCATTTTGTTAGCTTAGAAATGCAAATTTTTCAAAATGTAATTCAGGAAAAATATGTTAAAATACAAAATGTTTAGGTTTTATGTGAAATACGAGTAGTAGTTATATAGGAACTAGGGGATATATATCTGAGGTTACTTAATGGAAAAATAAACAGGATCTCAAGTATGACATATTGGAATCTGATTTTTGTTAACCAGATGTCATGATGAATGCTTATCAACTGTGGTAGGCTAAGAAACTTGTTTTTAGGTGGTCTTAATACTTAACTTGGTGGAATGCTCTGCTCTTTTAATCTTGGACACAATTTTTAGGCAATCTAATTTATTTCTTTAACTTGTTCAACAGCTTATAAGCAATTGCATGAAAGGCTGCTTGAAGGAAAGAAAATAATATGGAAAGAGTATAATTCATAGAATTTAGTTTGTTTTATAAGAGGATGAATTTCTCATTGTTTAAATATTCTCCTAATTAATATTGTTATTACCAAATACTAATATTTGAAAGATACCCAGTCTATTAATTTTTTTCTCACATTTCACAGATGTGTTCAAAGCAACATTGTTTTGTTGACGCAAGCGTTTAGAAGAAAGTTTGTCATTCCTGACTTTATGTCTTTTACGTCACACATCGATGAGTTATATGAAAGTGCTAAAAAGCAGTCTGGAGGAAAGGTAATGTTTTTGATGTGAATATTTTTCAAAACCAATTAATAAATTCAGCTCAACTTGTGGTATAGAGAGTAAAATTGTATAGTTTTCTTAAGACATTTAAGTGAAGTGACTAGATTAAGTGCTTTTAAAATATTTTAAATATTGTTATTTTAGCTAAAAATAAATCTACGTTTAAGAATTCTTTTTGATTTTCAGATGATTGAGATGGCTTTTAAATCTTTAATAAAAAAAGTAACTTTATTGGGAATTTCTGCAGATATGATATACTTGAACATTAAATAAAATGTTTCCAGTTTTAAAAATCCTCTAAATAATATTAAGAGCTATTTTGTTTCTTCTTCAGATTGAAAGTTTTTAGATAATAAAACCCTACCAGCATGACCCTGACTAAAGAAGTTCTCTATTTCTTTGCCCTGAAAAAACAAGTCAAGTCCTAGCTCCTCTTTTAGACTCTGCTTTTCTAAGGAGAAAGAATGCATTAGACAAAAGACGGATAATGGAGACTGAGAGAAGTCACTTAGATCTCTCAGCTGTAATCCTCATGTCTGTTGTGCTCTTAGTTTTTATGCGTATTGTTATGAAAGACAGACTGCAAAGCCACCCCAAGCACTACACAATAACTATTCATTGGTGGAAGCTAAATTGAGATAAATTTTTTGGTAGAAGAAAATATTATTTGCCTATATTATATCTGTTCATTTGTTTCCAATATTTTGGATAGGTTGCAGATTATATTCCTCAACTAGCCAAGTTCAGTCCTGATTTGTGGGGTGTATCCGTTTGTACGGTAGATGGACAGAGGTAAGTTTATTTCAAATTCATGAAAACAGACTCTCAGCCTTAAATTTTGCATAAAGTGAGCAGGAGGTAGAGAGGAGCATCTTCTATAATGGAAATTAACTCTAATATGACATAAATTCAAGGTAAATAAGTTTATATTTTAATTTAGTTTTTAAAAAACTCAACTGAAACAATTTATACTAAACAATTTATACTAAATTTTATGGTGCATTTCATCTAATTCATCTAATTCACAGTTGTAGTCTTGTTATTTGAGTATTTATTATTCAAGTACCTGCAATTACAAATTTGCTTAGGAAAAGCAGACTTAAGCAAAACATGGAATTATTCACTAATGAACTGACCACCAGTAAAATTAGTTCCCATTTCTCAACTTAACTTTGGTTACCAAGCCTGTGGTTATTTTGTTCCTCATGCTCTTGATATGATTAGCATGATAGTTATGACAATACAGCGTAATATAGTCATGTGCTGCATAACGATGTTTTGGTCAACAGCGGACTGCGTATGTGATGGTGGTCCCATAAGATTAGTACCATATAGCCTAGGTGTGTAGTAGGCTACACCATCTAGATTTGTGTAAATACACTCTATGATGTTTGCACAATGATGAAATTGCCTGACAATTCATTTCTTAGAACATATCCCCATCGTTAAGCAATGCATGGCTGTACAGTAGTCCCCTCATACCAGTGGTTTCAGTTACCTGTGGTCAACCATGGTCAGAAAATATTATATGGAAAATTCCAGAAATAAACAATTCATAAGTTTTAAATTGCACGTTGTTCCGAGTAGCATGATGAAATCTCTCACCATCCCACTCCATCCAGCCTGGATGTGAATCATCCCTTGTATATGCTACCTGCCCTTTAGTCACTTAGTAACCATCTCAGTTAGATTGACTGTCGTGGTATCTCAGTGTTTGTGTTCAAGTAATCCTTATTTTACTTAATAATGTCCCCAAAGCGCGAGAGTAGTGATGCTGGCAATTTGGATATGCTAAAGAGAAGCTGTAAAGTGCTTCCTTTAAGTGAAAAGGTGAAAGTTCTCGACTTAATAAGGAAAGAAAAAAATTATATGCTGAGGTTGCTAGGCTCTATGGTAAGAACAAACCTTCTATCCATAAAATTGCGAAGAAGGAGAAAGAAATTCCTGCTGGTTTTGCTGTTGCACTTCAGACTGCAAAAGTCATGGCCACAGTGCATGATAAGTGCTTAATTAAGATGGAAAAGGCATTAAATTTGTACAATAAGGTATTTTGAGAGAGGGAGAGAGAGACCGCATTCACATAACTTTTATTACAGTATATTGTTATAATTATTCTATTTTATTAGTTATTGCTGTTAATCTCTTACTGTGCCTAATTTATAAATTAAACTTTATCATCATGTATGTATAGAAAAAAACATAGCATATATAGGGTTTGGTACTATCTGCAGTTTAAGGCGTCCACTGGAGATCTTGAAAAGTATCCCCCCTTGGATAAAGGGGGACTCCTTTATTGTCTATTACCCATCAGTCATTTGCAAAATGAAAAGTCATTTGCAAAACATGCTGGATTTCACGAAGTCCATGAAAGTGATCTTTGGGAAGTTCTCACACTGCAGGCACAGACACTGACATACAAGGATCTAGCAGAATAATTAAAAGGGGATAATGGTGTGAGAGCACTTCCAAGAGAATGATTTCGTTTTCAAAATCAGTGAATTAAGAGAAGCCCTTGGAAAAATGGATCAAGTTCTGAAATATTTTTTCAAGAATGACTCTTTTTATTGTGCTGTGAGACATAAAGATTTATCATGTTGTAATTTGGTTTTGTCAGTCTGAAAAATTATGCCAAAAAGGAAAAGTCAGTATTTTTTACTCTTTTGAAGACTCAGCTCAGAGGTATAATCTTTCTCTTTTTTTGTTTTTTACTAAGGTAATTATTTCTTTTTTAATGAAAATATAACTTACATAAAATAAGGTGTAACAACTTCTAAGTGTATACAGTTTGGTGAATTTTTATCAGAGATGTAATTTTATCCTAAATTTTGTTGAAACTACACGTCATTTAGCCTTATAATTTTAGGTTTTATTTTTCAAGATAATGTCCCAATTAGAGCTTTTCCTCCCTTTATTAAATTCTGATCTCTTAAGTGCCTTCAGTTTAAGGGATCTTTTTATTTTTTACTAATTAGCCTCCTCAAGTATTTACAGTAAAAAACATGATTTATCCCATTCATTCTTTTTGTGTGTGTGTGTGTGTGAGGAAGATCAGCCCTGAACTAACATCCATGCCAATCCTCCTCTTTTTGCTGAGGAAAACTGGCCTTGGGCTAACATCTGTGCCTTATCTTTCTCCACTTTATGTGGGATGCCGCCACAGCATGGCCTGACAAGCAGTGCATTAGTGCGTGCCCGGAATCCGTACCTCCCCCCCCACCAGCAGCAGAGCTGCATGCTTAACCGCTATGCCCCGGGGCCAGCTCCTATCCCATTCATTCTTAAGATAAGGAATCTGAGGCCCAGAGTTCATATAATACTGGCAGAGGTGAAAGTAGCCCTAGGTCTCTTAACTTCTAGTCCATTGTTCTCTCCATTATGACAGGCTTTTATCCTCATCTGGACATGTAAAGTGTACTAAACACTCATTGTGTGTTGAATTAAATGTTGGGTGCTATGAAAGGACACAGATACCTGAGGAGCCATGGCTTTATCCTTATGGAGCAAATTCCAGTCAGGAGTGATATTCCTGTTTTTGTATTTGGAGGAAATGGTTTATCATGTATTGGAAATTTTTTTTTATATTTGGAGGAAATTATCATGTAATGCTTGCACACAGTTTTTCTCTTAAATATTCTCTGTGTGTAGAGATGATTCTTTTTACTTTTCTTATGTAGAGAATTTTAAAAGTTGACTTTGGACTAGAACATATGTGTTTTTAAATCCAAAAGGAGTAAGGCAGGCTTTTGTAAGGTTTTAGAGTGATTTTCAAGCTGAAGTTATAGTTTGAATTAGAAATTATTCATAAATTTGATAGGAAAAATATTATATACTTTTGTGCTAGATGTGTGTATTTATATTCCATAATATACTTAGAAGTCAGGTGGCCCTCTGACATCTCTTTGCCCTCTGACATCTCTGTTAACCCCTGTTTGCCCAGGGTGGTAGTTAGTATGCCCAGTTTCACCATGGATGAGTTCACTCTGAATAAGTGAGTGTCTGTAATGTGTTGGGGCGTTGTTCGTGGCACCTTGGATACTTAAGCAAATAAAACAAAGATCTGCCCTTGTAAAGCTTATGTTATAATGAGGTCAGTCAGAAATTTTTCATTTTCAAACCTATTGTCTACTTCATGTGCATCCCAGTTTGGTAACATAGAAAGCTTTCTTTTTGTTCTGTTGTTTGTCTTCATGGTTATAATGACCACCATTAGTGCCAGCTCTGTCAGGTTTGTAAAACTGGATGCTATTACTTTTAATGGGATTGGAATTGTGAGTAGATACAGTAACAAGATGCATTTATAGACAGGGTCTCAGAGAATGGTATTGAATCTAAATTGAGCTCAATTTAAAAACTAACCACAGTTTAGACATGGTTAAAGCTATGAGTAGAAACATGGTGACTAATTTCTAAAAGGGCTAGTTCATTTTATATGATTGAATGCAGATAGGAGTAAAGAGGGTCATACCCTCTTGCACTCAGAGGAGAATTGTCGCTTATTTATTATCTAATTTTGAACCATTCTGTTACCTGAGTACTTGAAGCTTTTGCCTTTTTTTGCAGGATCCTTTTTAAAATAAATGTACTTACATTTATTCTTTAATATCCAAGTAAACTTGTGATTGAATTATGAGAAAAGCTTTATAAATTAGATTAACATGTAAAAATAATAAATCATTCAGGGACGTTTTTTTCAGTTGATCTTAATTATTTTTTAAATCTGATTTTAAATAGGCATTCTATTGGAGATACCAAAGTTCCATTTTGTCTTCAGTCCTGTGTAAAACCTTTGAAATATGCCATTGCTGTTAATGATCTTGGAACAGAATATGTGCATCGATATGTTGGGAAAGAGCCAAGTGGATTAAGATTCAACAAACTGTTTTTAAATGAAGATGGTAAGAATTACATAAAAGTTGGTCAGAAAAAGAAATATTTCATTTTCCTATGTAAATCTATGTAGTTTTTTAATTTTTTTGAAGAAAATTAAAAGCATTCATACTTTTTTTCATTTGTCATGGAATTCTGTGAAACCCATAGGGATAGTTTAATCACCTAACTTTTTTAAATGGTTATTTTAGGCATCTCATACCACTGTAAAGTGGGCTAGGGAGAAGATGGGGGCAAGGAGTAAGATTTTCTCTTTATAACCACCTATAGGGGAATGTCTCGTAGTAAAATCTCACAGTGTCTGGGATTTACTTTAAAGTAATTCAGTGGAGTGTAGCTGGGAGTGCTGAGTGTGATTATTACTGTGTGTTGGCAATTATTGAAGCTAAATGATGGATACATGGGTGTTTCTATTCTATTCTTTCTACTTTTGTATATTGTATATATTTGAAAACTTCCATAGTAAGTTTTTATGGTGGCCCTGGTTGAGGTAATAAGTGTTTTTTACTTTTTCTCTTTCATAACATTTGATATTTGAAAGAAATATCTTGTGTTAAATAGTTGGATAACTAACAAGTCTTATTACTCTATAGGAATCCAAAAGAAACAGGGAGGTCAAAGATAGTACTTTTGATCTGATAGAGATTTTAAATCTAAACACCAACCTCCGGTTGGTTTCTATTTTTCAATCTTTCAGGCATATGCTAGGTTCTATGTTGTGTGATGAGTACCTAGAATTGAAGAAAGCAAGAGTGAAGAAATTCAGTGGTTGAAATAATGATTGTGAAAAATATACTTTTGTATTTTTTTTCTGCTGGATAAAAAAATGAAATGTGCCTTATACTCATTATCATTTTATTAGTTTTTTTAAATGAAATTATAAGACTGATATTTTCTTATGCTTCTCCTCCTATTTGTCTTGAGAGCAATTACATTTTCTTACCTATATTACCATAATCTTTCTATTCTGATGCTACAGTTGATTTTGTGGAGATTACCATAAACTGGCCACATAAGGACATCATGTGAGAAGTACCTTATGTATTAAACTCACTGACATCCAGATTTTATATGGAAAGAATTAATTTTTATTTTAACAAGATAAAACATTTTATAAGAAAAATTAATATTTTCCTATGTAAGGCAAAGTGGAATAATTTAGGTGGTTCTGTTGAATTGATTGATTTTGAGAGAGATATTTAAAGAATAGAAATTAACCGATATGGGAATTTGAATATGAACAAGTATTTCAGAAACAAAAAGTAAATAAAATGGGCTTGGGTTAAATAACTTAACCTTATAAGTAATACATTTTTTGCCATGTGCATTTATGATTTTAGAAATTATGATTTATTGACACTGTAGTCTGTAAGAAAAAAATGATAAGAACTCAGGAATTTAGCACTGGTTTATAATAACTGAAACATGAAGTTTAACAAGAAGTTTTGCCTTGATATTCCCAAGCCTGAGCCAATACCAGAAGTCTTGGAAGTAATGGGAAAATGAAGGCCGCACTCCTTCCTGAGTTCTGCATAGGTTCTGTGCTCTAGAGTCTTGGTTTTAGACTACCCCAGCAAAAAATAGTTTGTAGGTCTTTTTCATATTTAAAATTTCAAGAGTAGATTTATGGTGAAACTACATTTTGTGTATGTGCATGTGTGTCTGTGTATTTAGCATTACAAAATTAAAAAAATAAATATTGTGCTAGCTTTATAAGACTGTAATGATAAACTAAGGTTAATATGAATATAATGAATAGATAAAGAAATTATAGTAGTTACTCTTTTAATATGAGTAGTTTTAAAATGCTTTATAGCATAAGAAGTTGTAGTCCTGTGGTGAGGAATTGGCTGATGTTTTCTGTCACTATAAATCAAGAAGTAAGTTACTTGATGGAGATCTCAATTTTGGAAACCACGATCTCATAGTGAAGTCGTCTTCTACCTTATAGTAGAAATTAGGTTAATCAACAGACATTTATATAGCCTTTTTCTCCAATATTGTTAACAACTATGAAGGGTACATGGGCCTTGGTTCTTGGATAACTTATCTAGCTAATACTAAAGAATACGGAAAACGATTACATACATCTAATACATGGGGAGAAAAGACAAACTCAAGCATTGCATACTGCTAATAATGTTATCTTACAAGTTTGTAATTGACAGAAGCCAAAATGTATATGTTGGTTTATATGTGTAGAGGATTTGAGAAAGAGGAGTTGAATTAATTTACATGAGGAAGACAGGAATGAATTGTATAGAAAGAACAAAGTTTGGGTGATTGAGCAAGTGGGCACTGCAGGATTAAACCATATATAAAATATACTTGTATTGTTATATAGCCCTGTAAAATTCCAGTGTAATACCTAAAATATAAATATCCATATTAAACTGAACATAACTACTTTTTAGTTCTTTAGTATACGCATTAGCAAACTTTGACTTAGCATCAGTTATGAACTGCATCTTTGTAAAGTTTATATGCTTAGCAGTTTGAAAAGCTTTTTCTGGTGTAATATGAAAGAATTTTCTGTGTGTTTTATTGCCTTGGAGAGAATAAATACTTGTTAAAATGAAGCAGTTTTGTGCATTCTGGTTAAAACCATGCCCATCAATTTCAGATGTTGCCCATGTCCATTTTGTCATTATACCAAGTTAATGTATGTCATTACTTCAGGTAGTAGCCTTCATTAATTAGCTTAAGTGTTACTTCTGCTGTCATAAATATTTGTTAATTAAAAATTCTAAATTGAACTCTTAACTCTCCCTCCTACCTACGGCAGAGTAGATATCACAGTCATAGGTTTCAGACTGAGGTTTTAGACTGCAGTAATGCTGGTGTTATGTTATAATATCTCTGGTGTATTTCCAAACATTCAGATGTCTGGCTTTTGAGCCAAAGGCAGAGTGAACAATTGCTTACATCTGAAAATTGCTCTGTCATGGCGTGAAATGCTTTAGTGTTCTTTGAAAGAATCTCTTGAATGTAGCTTATGTAGTATTTGCAGAATATTTATGATTTAGAAAATATTAAATGCGCACATTTATGTGGTACCATGTGGATTACACACATTAGCTGCCTCCTAGGACCCTAGAGTCTAAACCTGATAATGTAAAAAAAAACCAAGAAAGGACAGATACATGAATATCTACACAAATACAAGTATAAACACATTTAGCATAGCTGGATTGCCATATTCTGCTTTCTGTCTGCGTGTGGTTTTTCTTTCAGGTGTATAATATAGGAGAATTTTTGTTTTTCAGCTTCCTCTTACTAGGTAGTATTTTTCTGTGCAGCAGTTGCTCATTTTGTGTGATCTCAGAGAAAGAAAACTTCTCTTAGTATAATATGGAATAGGTAAAATCTTGACTGTAATACTCAGATATTGTACTAAGTTTTCTTTTAACTTTTGGAAGTAGTATCATGGGTAATCCAAAATGCACAATGTTTAAAACATAGCTACTGAATCACATTATTGATCTTATGTTGAGGAAAACTGGTAGACTGTGTTACCCAATTTTTTGTCTTTACTGATTTTTTTTTAATTAAAAATTTTTTAACAGCTTTATTGAGATATAATTCACATACCATATAATTCACCCATTTAAAGTGTACAATTGAGTGGCTTTTGGTATATTCATAGGGTTGTGCAACCATCACCACAGTCAACTTTGGGACACTTATCAACCCACAGAGATACCTCGTACACATTAGCAGTCAGTATCCATTTCTCTTCTACCCTGGCAACTAGTAATCTACTTTCTGTCCTATAGATTTGCCTATTCTGGACATTTCATATAATATTTGGTCTTTTATGACTGGCATATTTTACTTAGCATAATGTTTTTAAGGTGCTTTCATGTTATAGCATGTATCAGTGCTTCATTTTTTTATTGCTGAATAATATTCCATTGTATGAGTAATAATGCCACATTTTGTTTATTCATTCATCAGTTGATAGGCCATTTGAGTTGTTTTTTACTTTTTTTGTTTTTTTGCTGAGGTAGATTTGCCCTGAGCTAACATCCGCTGCCAGTCTTCCTCTTTTTGTTTTTTTTTGTATGTGAGCCGCCACTGCAGCATGGCCACTGACAGATGAGTGGTGTAGGTCCGTGCCTGGGAACCAAACCTAGGCCGCTGAAGCTGAGCACACTGAACTTAACCACTAGGCCACCGGGGCTGGCCCGTGTTTTTTACTTTTTGACTACTATCAATATTGCTACTGTGAACGTTTGTGTACAAGTTTTTGTGTACACGTATGCTTTTATTTCTCTTGGTTATTTACCTGGGAGTCAGATTGCTGGGTCATATGATAACTCTTTGTTTAACAATTTGAAGAACTGCCAGGCTGTTTTCCAGAGCTCAGAATTGTTTAGCTATAGACTCATCTCACAAAAGGTAACTTGCTTAAAATTCAAGGAGACTAATAATGAAGCAATACCTTATTTCTGCTCGATTTGTCAAGCTAGATAAGAATTTGTTCCCAAAGAAGTAAATCACTACCACAAACAGATAAATTAGGAATTATGCTTTCAAATAAATGTTTCAGTGCCCTAAGAGTTTTATGTTTGGTATTTGTGCCATGCTGTGAATGAGAAAGTAATCATCTGAGATTTGAAATTCTATTTATTGTAAAAATTAGGAGAAGAGGTAGGATTTTGGATGGATTTAAATTTTAGGTAATTTTTAAAATTATATAAGAAATATATCTTTATTGTCAGGAAATATAGAAAGCATAGAGAATACAATTTAAATCCCCTATGATCTTTTTATCCTATGTGTATCACTTGTTAGTGTTTGTGTTTTATTTTTCTGCATATGTATGTGTATATACATAAACACAAAAATAAAACACTTTAAAAAAGCAAAATTGGGTTCACACTAGATGTGCTTTTTCCAAGGTGATTTTTAATAGTAATGTTATTTGAGAGCTTAAGGATATGCCAGGTACTTTCTAAGCATTTCATGTGTTTTAAGTCATTCAACTATTACAACTGGCTGAAGTGTCAGTGCTATTATTACCCAATTTACAGCTGGGAAAATTGAGGTACAGTGAAGTTCACTTACTTGCCAGGGGTCAAATAGCTAGTAAAGGGCAGAGTTAGGAGATTTGGATGTGCTCTTTCACTACTATTCACTGTCTTTCTCTACATGAATCTTTGTCTATATTATTATTATAGCAGCTTCCTAGAAGTATATTACTGGTTTGATATGTAAGAGACTTAAATGCATTCCTCTACTTCCACATCCCCCTACCCCCTCAAGAAAACCTATAACAATGGCTTACATAAAGAAAATAGATATATGTTCATGGGGAGTGCCTATGCATCACAGAAAATATCAGGTATTTGAAATAATGATATTGCTCTTATATTTTACAGATAAACCACACAATCCTATGGTAAATGCTGGAGCAATTGTTGTGACTTCATTAATAAAGGTAAAATGTTGACATTTCCTTTTAACCTAGTGAATTTTTTTAATAGCTAAGGCATAAAGATAAATCTTGGATTATTTATGTAGAACTGTGAAAAGTTTTCTTTTGGTGTTAAAAAAATAATCTTATGATATAATGTTAGAATTTTTATTTATTTCAAAATAAATGGTGTAATTTCAAGAGCAAAATTAAAAACAGATGACTCATTGTAAATTTCAACAGTTATTCTTGACCTGAAGATCTGGCAAAAATTCAAAAAGAAGTCTGCTGAACAATAGGCACAGAAGTTTTTCTTAAAGTTTTGATATTTTTTTCTTTCTCTTCCTTTTGGCTCTTCTAGAATGAACAGATGTAAACAGAATTAAAAGCATTTTACTGTTTAATGTTTGTCATCAGCACATGTAGGAACAAATGTTCTGATGCTGTGTGTTAAGACAAAGTACATTTACGCTTGAATAATTTCAAGTTCTTTGTACTGTCATGAGCTGTAATCACAATTTTCGTTTGAACTTTTCATTTATTTTCCTTAAATCGTATCATAACTAAAATAAATAATACTTATTCCAATTATTAAGTTATATTATTTTTCTTATGCTTTAGTTTGCATTATATGTTTTGATTTTTTTTTTTTTTAAGTGTCTGGTTTGCCTTAATAATTGGAAGCTCTAATGCTGTTTTGAAATAAGTATTTGAAAATGGTTCTATTGTGTGGTACTGTTTAGATTTTTAATTTTTAATTATAAATTTCGTTTATATTCAAATAAGTTTCATTTGTGTTTGGAACATTTATATACTTTCTTTAGTAAATCTGTCCCTATCTATTCTAAGCTTGAAAAAAAACATAACTATATGGCTTTGTAGATTTCTTACTGGGGATGGGATACCCTAGTTACACAAAGAATGTTTGAATATAAATTATGTCCTTGGCCCAATTCATAAAAATTCATCTAATTTGTATACTTGAAATTCTCTGTTAAGTTTCATGAATTTTATATGTTCATGAGAAAAAGCCTTAAAAATAGAAGATTACTGTGTTAAGAATATGTATGTTTAGTTGCTGTTTTAGAGCAGATGCTTGGTAAGCATTGGCCCATTTAATCCTTGTAACTCTAGTAAGGTAGATATTATAGCCAAGTATTTTTTAGTGTAATTTTAATAACCTATTGAAATTTTCTTTGTGCCCATTATAACATCTAGTTATTCATGAGTGTTTTATGTAAGAGAAAAGTTGTCAGTTTAAGGTGAAAGAAGTTGTTTGTTTATTGTAGAAAATTATAATGTGAATACGTGCTAGGCACAGTCCTGCCTTCAGGTAGCTTACACTATAGTGTGGGGTGTACACAAGTAAATGGGCCCTTACAATGAAATTCAATAAATACTGATGAGAGAAAAGTCTCATTAATATTTGTTCAGATTTGAAGAGTAACTTAAATTAGAGGTAAGGAAAGTAATGATAATACAATGTATGTGTTTAGTGCTTGACGAGAAAACCACTAGAATGGTTCTGAACCTTTTGAGGTCTTCTCAGAAAAATGTTCACATACCATGATTTTATGTAAACTTGAGGGAGTTCAGAGACCCTTTGAAGCTGATTTATGGATACCAGTTTAAGAACTCTTACACTGGAGAAAAATTAACATGGCATACCAATAGTATTTTCAAGAAAGAGCATATGTAAATGATTAATAGAAGCCTTCCTTAATTGCATGCAGTTAAACATCTTTTGTTTAGTGATTCATGAGTGTAATATACCACACTGAAATGCTGCATGTGGGAAACGCATGTCTGGTCATGCCACACTGTCACTTCATTAGTTTCACTTACTGTGTTCATTCACAAGCCATAAACTATACATTGAGCCACATTAATACGAGCACTTAGAAACAGAGTTAAAAAAACACACATACACAACATGAGTGTGGTTCAGTGTCCAACAGTGCAAAAATTTAACTGAGTCATCTTGTATTTACAAATTTGATCAGTGGTTTTAAATTTATAAAAATTTTAAATTTACTGGCAAAGTTGGAAATGAGGCTTTGGGGTATGGTTCGTATTTAAGATCACTTTCTTTGAATTTTTGTTTTGTTTTGTTTTTAGAAGGTGTTTCACAATTTTTTTTTTTTAAATGAAGTTCATCTAAATATTGGAGGGGTAAGCCTGATATACCTCTGTGTAAAACTGCCCCAGAATGTAATACTTTTCTTAAGAAGACTCCTTTTTAAAAAGAATTCAGAACTCCTAAAAATACCTGTGTGTGATCTCTGAATAATATTTATGAATTGGTAATTGAAATTGAGGTAATAAAACCATAGGCGAAAGGTCTTCAGGCCCAGCCCTCTTATGTTATGTAGGTGCAGTGAGGAAACTGAGACTGATAGGCTCTAATAGCAGTAGAATTGGGCTTGAGCTAAATCTCCTGATTTTTTGTTTGCTGTTCATTAGAATTCACTCTGCCATATTTAATGTAGGTGTTTGCTGTTTCTTTTGATGACATCTTTATCTTTACCTTGCATAGTTATATTGTCCAAAAAGCAGAAATTTTATTTTCTTAATTTTAACTTAATCAAAAGATACCAATTTGTTGGCTTAAAGTCACTTCTAATTTTCAGTGGGTGTATATAGTCATTCTTTGGACATTAGTCAGTGCTTGCTATCTGTAAGGAATTCGGCCTCTTCTCAAGGAGCTTGCATTTGAGTACCCAAAGCGTGGATATTTTACCATGGCTACCAGATTTGAATTCTGTGTTTTAGCTCTTTTAGTTGATTTTTTTTTTCTTTCAAAATTCAAGACTTTATTATGGTGCTATTAAAACATTCTCCTCATGTTATTCCCCCTCCCACACACACTCAAAAATTAAGTAGAGTCTTTATTAAGACTCTTTATTTCATAATTTTGTAGTATTGATATTTTTTCCTTGTAGGATTGGTGGTGATCCTCAGGAAATGGGGGAAGAGGCAAAGCAAATGTTCAAAAGGATTAGCAGATTGTGGAAAAAAGGAGGATTTGGACAGAAGGAACCTGTTGCATAAGTTCTTAACTTCTAAACTTATAGGAAAACTCCAATATTTAAAATTTTAAACAAAGCTATCTAGGTAAATACCTTCATAAAAACAAATGTCATTTTGTACTTAAAATGCACATAATTCAAAAAACCGTAAAGGTGCTATACTTCCTCTCTTTTTCTGTATGGTAGCTACTGAATTTAAAAGAATACTTTCTGATGTAGTTTGTTTTATTTGATGATGATGATGTGGTTGCTTGATTTAAAGGAAAGAGTGAAAATAAATTTGAAAGGAGCGCAGTTATTCTGGATGAAATAGCAGTATCCTTATGTAATTTTTTTCTTTTCAGCGGTAAAAATTTCACCTAGTTTCAGTTTAAAAGTTAAGGTCTGGCGATAACTTGAGGGCTCGGGTGGGAAGATGAGGACAACTTATGACGGGATAATTGCCACACTTCTGCTTTTTTTATTTTAAAGGCAAAGAGTGAGTTATATTGTTTTCTTCTTCTCTGTTTGTCTCTCTTTATTCTAGTAGTAGTTTACAGTTTTTGTCATTTGAAGCAGCTCAGTTTTTTTTAATGAGAAGTATTTTTGAATTGAAAAAATTGGAGTTTTTTTCTCTTTTTTTTAAAAACAATTTAATCATGCTCCATGAAAATCAAGACAAATTTAGTTAATTGTATGTAATGCTCAGTTTGGTTATGTTAGCAATAACCTGTTAAACTTGCTTATAAGCCATATTTTTAGGGCGGTTTCTGGCTCTGGGGAGCAGTGGATGATACCTTGGACTTGGCAAAATTCGTAAGAAAGGATTATATTAGTTTATTTACTTCATGTTTACATTAGTTGATGTATCTGAGGTTTTTTAAAAGTAACTTTATTTTTAGGGTTAATCTATGAAAATACTAGATTTAAACATTTTTTTACCTATAATATCTATTTGAATATTCCAAGTATTTGGGTTTAAAGCATTTTCTCCAGCAAGATTAAACTAAAAGTATTTTATAAAATCATTTTCAGTTACCTCTTTTTGCCTCTTTCTTCTCTGATCTCTAATTTTCAGTCGGCTTTTATACCTCCATACTTTATGAATGGAATCAAGTGATTTACTAATAAAATAACTCTAATTAATGTATTGACTTTAAATGAGTCATTTTTATATTAAATTTATTGGCAGATGTGTCCCTGTTAACAGTGATATTTTCACCTGTGTTATAATGTATAAGACATGATTCAACTCGTGAGTGTGTTGTAAAAACAGGCTATAAAAACACTCCAGTATAGTTATATTAATTCTTTTAATAGCCAATGTTAAAACTCAGTGACTATCAAATTTTCATTTATAAACTTTTCTTCAAAGGAATGTAAATTTTTTAACTTGAGGTATATTTATAGAAAAATAAATTTGTATAATTTTCTAGTCTCAGGTCTGATGACTACCATTTTCAGGCAGACCACATGGTTTGCTTTTTAAAAGTCATTTGATGAATGAATTAGAAATTTTAGTAAATATATTTTATCCAATTTATTTTTTTAAGTTTTCTGACTGTACTTACTACAAATTACTGTTAACTTTTTCAAGATTAAAATAACACGATATCTAATAATGCTTGTGCAGTGAGTTAAAAACTGGGGATTTTTTCCCAAGAGATAAAGGGGCATTGATAGTTCTAAGACTATCAGTTTTCCAAATCTCAGTTTTCATATGTGCTTTTCTTAAAATAAATCTGCCTTTGGTTGAAGTTTCCTCCCATTTTTCAAAGAAGAGACATACTTCTCATGTGTCTCAAATTTTACTATGGTATACTGCTTCAGGCTGTAAAAACCTACTAAGTACCAACAAAAGAGAACATTTTAAAATGTTGAAGTCACTGGTATTGAGGATGTGAATCACTATAATGACTGGGAACAAATCTCTTGTATACCAGGTTGTTTCCAGTTTTTGGTTTCAACAAAATGGAAAGAGGATCTAATTAAGAAGTTAGTTAATAAGAGCATTAAGCATAACTTTTGAGGATAGATTACTATGTGACTTTTGCATGTAATGAGGTTGATGTGTAAAGAACTGAGTAACATTGCTGTCACAAAACCTTTTCTCTTTCCATCTCTTCTCAGCAAGATTTCTCAACTCATACACCTGTAAAAATTCAAAATAGTAAGAAAATTAAACGCCTCCTTCTAGTAATAGAAAGTATCCACTAATAGATGAACTAATTAAAAAATCAATTACTATTTCAAAGAGGAAAGAAAGTATTCTAAAGGAACAATTTTGTAAGTTAGCGTGGGACATTATGGTGATTAGCAAATAAACATTTTTCCTTTAACATTTTATGAAAATTTTCAAATATATACAAAATAGAATAGTATAACCAGCCCCCATGTACCCATTCCTGGCTTCAATTTTTATAACATCTGTTCCTCTACCCCTCTGCACCCCACTACTGGATAATGATGATGGTTTTTTTACAGATTGCTTTTTGCTTTTGGAGGGGGGAATTTACTCTAGTTTATTTTGTATGTGTATGTGTGTTTTTTTCTAACATCTTTGCAGATAAACTTTATACTGTAACTTTTTCAAAATTAAAATAACATGACATCTTATAATTATTAGATCGTATATATATCCCTGGGGTACTTTCCAAGACATACAGGGGCAAATATATTTTGTTGACTTAAGTTAAATGCTATTTCCAGGGTAGATAGTAAGGACAAACATTAATCGTGTGCTTTTACATTTAAATGAGGAAGTTTTGGGGAGAGATTTTCTTGAGTCAACACAATCATTCAAATATTTTATTTTGCCTGTTTATATAATCTGCCTAGGACATTTCAAGTAGCTTACCCAAAAGGCTGTAGAATGATAGCCCATTGGTAAATATCAGTTGTTTCTTAAAAATAGCATAGGAGCAAAACTTAATTGTACTTGAATTTAGTAAGCTACAAAGTAGACCAAATGTGTGACCACAGTCTAGAGTTGAAACATGTTTTTTTTTATTATTATTAAACATGACAGCTAAATAAAGTTTTGTATTAGTTTTATAGGGCACAGTTTAGGTCAGAGAATGAAAGTTCAATATAACTTGTTTATTTTACATTGATTAATTGTATAACCAGTTATTATCCATGTGACATCCCAATGCAAATGCTGACATCCTTTTCCAAAAGAGTTGTTTTTTTGTGCTTTTTCAAAGGTTAAAAAGGTTTTTGTGGTTTAAATGTTGTTACATATTTTACAGCATTAGGATCTATGGAATATTTTGACAACTGCAACAGTTCAATGAAGTTGGTAATTTCTTCTTTTAATTATTTTTCATTGAACAGCTTTGGACTTACATTTCTACATTTTGATTTCTGGTGTATTGTAAGGAAAGAAAACTTAAAATATGTCAAAGGACACTTTAGAGAAAATACGTAGATAGTGATTACAGTATGACTGTAGCTAAATTATCCTTATCTTGTTTAAGCTCTATTAATGCCTAATATTGATGAAACAGTGTGGTGTTCTTTCCGGCTACTGATTGTATGTGTGATTGGACATCCTTTCTCAAATAAATTGATCTGTAAGATTTCACAGATTATCGGCCACATCCTAATCCACTTGTAAAGTGGAGAATGACCCTGGCTTTATTCAATTAATAATACTCTGGTACAGATTTTCTCCCCATAATAAAATTTTAAAGTGTAATGTTTTGGATTGTTTGAGGGTAAAGTTAAAAAATTTTGTTTTTAAAACTTTAGTTGTCGAATTATTTTAAACCTGTTTTAAAAATTAGAGATGTATTGTTTCTATTGGGTGCATATCACCAATTAATACGTTTGATTTCAGATCTACAACTTACTGCTTTGTAAACTTCGCCGAGGTAAAATGAAACCATTTGGCTACTTGAACTGATCTGCGTTATAGGTTTTTCCTATTGACATTTGCAGTAGCTAACCTCAGAAATAGAAGTGATGAAACAATACATCTTCCATACTCTGAATTGGCATAATGCTAAATACAAATGTAGCTAATTTTTTAGACACTATGAAATATAATTTTTTTTAGTTCAGGTATTGTTATAACAAGTGAGATGTTAAAGGTAGGGATTTCTCTATACTAGTAAAATCTATCCAGAATGTTTGCATATACTAGAATTATAAAAGATTAGTTAGTTTTGCAACATAACTCATTTTTCTAACTGTAATATTGGTTTAAAGTTATTTTAAAAATATAAATAGATTGTTCTTACGTGAAAACCATGATTTATATATACTTAATTCTTTTCTAAGGGTGAAACTTTAAGTTTTTTAAAAATATGAAATTAAATAATTTAAATAACATACATTCTAGCAGATTGTGTGTTGTCATGAAAGATAAGGGGACTTGGGGTAACTTGTTTAAATTCTGTAACTTTGGGTTGGGTTAAGATATACTTGAAATAAAGCATTCCCTTGGTAATTCAGATCCATTCTCAACAAATGGTGTTAATGAAAGAACATATAGAAAGTTTATGTAAATACTAAATTACTTGAGAAGTATTTCCTAGATTTAAAAGTACTAATGCACCATATATTAATTATAATGATAGCAGTTTGAAATTTTGATATTATATTCACTTAAAACTTACCTATGGTGGTGCCTATATTAACATATTTATGTCTCATTTATTTGCAGCAAGGAGTGAATAATGCTGAAAAATTTGACTATGTAAGTGCAATATAGAATTCAGTTTCCATGCTACATTCTTTATATATTGGTTTTTTGATTACTAATACTTTCTAATTTGGATTTATAGGTGATGCAGTTTTTGAATAAGATGGCTGGTAATGAATATGTTGGATTCAGTAATGCGACGTGAGTCTGATTTATGATTTCGGTGTTTATAATGGGTCAGGACGCTTTAAATTTATTTTAAAAATGTAGATTATAGAATTTTATTTTAAATACCGTTTTGTGACTCTCTACATATATGAAATATAATTTTATATATATACACACACACACACTGTATTTAGAATTAATCTTTTCCCCCTTCTTGGTCCTAGGACTTACTTCAGTGAATAAATAATTACTTAAAATTTGGTCATTAGAGGGAAATGAATGATTTCTAAATTACCTGGAGGGGAATACTTAAAATGCTTTAAGTAGTTTTATAAACTTTTTATGGATAATCAAAATTAGAAGGGACGCCAAGTTTACCTCAAATTACTGGCATTATTCAGTTTTCTCTTTGCCTATAATACCTGTCTTACCTTTCTTAATCTGTGCCTGGCTAACTTGATTTTTACCCCAATTTTTTATTTTGAAATTTTCAGGTCTGCACAAAAGTTGAAAGAATAAATGATGAATATTTGGATATCTTTCACTTATATTTTCTGATTAATATTTTGTCTCATTTGCTTTTTCTCAACCTCTCTCTTTAGATGGACGGTTAAAAATATGTGTATCTCTACAGATGCGTATATGTACATATATGTAAATATACATGTATGTGGGTGGTTTTTTCCTGTACTGTTTGAAATTAAGTTGTAGACATCATGACACTTCACCCTTAAATAACTCAGCATGTGTATCCTAAGAATAAGCACATTTTCCTACATAACCACAATACCATCAACACACTTAAAAACATTGATTTTAAAATATCATGATATTAATCAATATGTAAATGTCCCAACTCTCCCCTAAATGCCTTTTATGGCCTTTTTTTTTTTAGGAGCTAATCAAGGTTCATGCATTACATTTGTTATATCTTTATTTTTTGTGAGGAAGATCAGCCCTGAGCTAGCATCCAATGCCAATCCTCCTCTTTTTGCTGAGGAAGATTGGCCCTGGGCTAACATCCATGCCCATCTTCCACTACTTTATATGGGATGCCACCACAGCATGGCTTGACAAGCGGTGCGTCAGTGCGTGCACAGGATCCGAACCTGCGAACCCCGGGCCGCCGAAGCAGAGTGCACGCACTTAACCTCTGCACCACCTGGCTGGCAGCAGTTATATCTTTTGAAAATAGAAAAGTCCCCCTGCCCTAGACCCTTGCTTTTTAAAATTTTACTTAATGGATTATTTTGAAGAGTGCCAACCAATTGTTTTATAGAGCAGGAATTAACTGACTTTTTCTGTGAAGGACCAGATAGTAAATATTTTAGACTTGTGGGCCATACAGTCCCTGATGCAATACTCAGTTCTCCGTTTAAGTAGGGAAGCTGCCGTGGACAATATGAGGCTGTGTTCAAAAACCTTTATTTGTGGAAATAGGCAGCAGACGGGATGTGGCGCATGGGCTGTAGTGGATAGGCGCCGTTTTGAATAGGTCTGGTTGTTTCCTTGTGATTAGATAAAGCTTAAACAGTTTTGGCATGAATATTAACTAGGTGATGCTTTGTGCTTCATGTTTCAGAGGGCAAAAATTTTGAGGTTGTCTGCTTTACCAACTCTTATTCATCAGCTTAAGTATCTTCCATGAAGTTTTTCATGAATCTCATCTCACCTCTCTTCTGTGCTCTCACATTACCATATTTTATGGAACTTATTCTGTATCTCTCTTTGCCCTGTCATCACCATTAGACTTTGACCTTCTTAAGACCTGGATAGAGTGTCTTCCAATTCATTTCTGTATTCCTGTTATCTGGCAGATAATAGGCACTTGATGTGGTGTTTGATGAACAAAATGCTAGGCACTGGGATAATTTCTGAGTAGTTAGTCCTCTTATCTATACTATGTTGATGTGTTTTTAAAAAGTATGGCAAGTTGACCAGTTTATTTCCAAGAACTTTTCCATATCCAACATTGTTTTTCTGACCACAGAAATATTAAAATATACAATTAGAAGGGGCTATCCACACATGATCAATAAATACAAAGAGTGTCACCCACAGTTCCTCTTTTATCAGCAGCCTGCTGGACACTTGTAGGTTGAGCTCTCAAATGTACCACAAATTGAATCTGTCTAAATCAAAACTCATCTATTTCTTCCCAAACTGCTCTCTGCTGTAGGGATCCCCATGTCAGTTGATATGGCCATTTTTTCCATAGACTGTGTTAGAAATGTAGGCTTTGTACCAGACTTCACCCTGTTTATCCTCTTTCCCATCAGGTCAGAAGACTTGCCCAACTGCTCTCATGTTTGATCATACCTCTCCTTCCATTCCTGTCACCACTACCTGAGCTCAGGCTTCCTGTAGCTCTTGTTATAGTAGTGTCCTAATGACATCCCTCATCCTTTCTTTTTTCCCTTTCTAAACTGATGTCAGAGTTATCCTTCTGAAATGTAGATCTGACAAGGTAACGTTTGAAAGCCTTCAAGTTTTATTTTGTAGACAATCAGGAGCCATTACATTTTTTAGCATTTTCCAGTCTTAATAATTTGATGCCAGTCTCCTTTGTTAGTTTGCTGTTTCGCCACTCTTCTTCATGAACCGTTATTTCCGAGATATATCAGAATATTGGCCATTCTTCAATGAAGTCCTGTCTTTAATACTTTTATGACTTTGTTCATGCTACATGATATTTGCCACCATCTAGGCTTCCCCCTGAAATCTGTTAATCCAGTAAATGCTGTAAGGCCCATTTCAAGTGACCCTCTTGCAGTGAAATTTCCATGGATTCCCTCAGTTGCAATTGACTATTTATTGTACTTTCGGGGGAGCCAGAGATTCCGCAATTTTTTAGTATATTTTAATGGTGGAATATTTGATAACTTTAAAATTAGCTTGTTTATTTACAAAATATGAAGGAAGAAAGGGCCTAGTTCATTTCAGTCCTTTTACAGCTGAGAAAATTAAGGCTGAAAGAATTGTCATTTAAATGACTGCCCAAGGCCACATAGCTAGCCAGACAGAACTGGGACTGGAAGCCAGCAGTCTTGACTCCTGGGTCAGTGGTCTTTATACTGCACTTTGCCGTACAAATTAAACTACATTACAATCATACTTTTACAGAAAGTAAATAAATAGAGCAAATGTTTTTTTTTCTTCTAGGTTTCAGTCTGAAAGAGAAAGTGGAGATCGAAATTTTGCAATAGGATATTACTTAAAAGAAAAAAAGGTTTTTAAATTTTTGTTTATATTTCAAATAATTCTTTTATTTAAAGATGCATGCTAAGAACTCAACAGTAGCTTTTAAGCAACTACCTATTACTATTTAAGGTGCAGAAGTTTTTGCAAAACACTCTTGAGTTATTGTTATCAAAGTGTTAATATTATTAAATCAGTTTGTTTCTGGCAGTATTCAAATATTTGACTAGTTATATTATTGCAAATTTTGCTTAAGGATTAGCCCATTTTTTCAAAAGTGTAATGCCTGACTATTGTTGATTACACTTGATTTTTAAATTTTAAGTGGCTGGTCCAGTAACTTGTTTTTTTGTCAGTTAAACTAGTATCTAGAAATCTGTATGTGATGTAATTTTGCTTTATTGTTCTTCATTATTTCATGTTTATACCCTTTTCTAGGTTATATGCTATTTTGTTGTCAAAATGAAATAATTATGTACATTTGAAATTTAATCTTCATGTATCTTTTACTTATGTGCATATTTTTTTTCCCTATGTGCCTATGTTTTTAATTGCCTTTCTGTTTTTTCAGTGTTTTCCAGAAGGCACAGACATGGTTGGTATATTAGACTTCTACTTCCAGGTAATGTACTTTAATATATGAATTGTGTATATAAATGTGTTTGTCACATTTTGCAGTATATAGATGTTTCTGAAATCTTGGCTCTAGGCCAAGAGAAAATACATTTCCCACTGACTCTCAAAAAATGTCCTCATGAAAGACATTCTCATATCTCTGTCTCCTAAAAAGTCATGCCTCAGAATGTAGTAGAGAAAATTTTTTTCTGTAGAAACTTTCTATTTAAGAAGTGTCAGAAATAATGTACAGTTCCTGAAATTGGCTTCTCCTTATTATAAAATGATCTCTGTCTTCTTAGCTTTTAAATTTTATTTGGAAGAGTTGTTTCTTTATTAGGGGGTTCATATTCAGCATTTTAAAGTGACAGTTTCTCAGTTTGTTTAGTTCATTTCTGCAGTGTCACATAGTAGATTTTCTTCTATGTTAGAGTAGCTCTCCATATTCGTGGGAAAGGGGGCCACTCACCTAATCTGCTGTGGTATAGAACTCAATTTAAGATAGCCTTTCTGGAGATCCCTCTCCTCCGCCCCATATTTTCAATTCACTTGTTACAGATTTAATATTTTTAGTGCCTCTGATGGGTCTATAAAGTAATAGGTCTATAAGCTACATAGTAACAAATCAATTATTGTTAATTTCTAGTCTGCCATACATTTGCCTGTCTTTACTTTTGAAGGTGCTTTAATTTTAACCTCTACTAATCTTAAAAAATATATAAGGAAGGTTGATAATGAAGTAGATTTTGATGGAAGTCCAGGTCACAGTTTGTCATCTGCCCAACATGAAGAACTATGAATTGGGAATCCAGGCTATCAATATAAAAATCAAGGTCTAAGCTGGCCACTTTTTAGCCATGTGACCTGATTTCAGTTACTGAGCCCTAGTTTCATAATCTGTAGCATATGCTTGCCTTAATTTTCTGCATTACATTGTAGATAACCTGAGATGATATGTGTGAAATTCCTTTGAGATTATTAAGTGTTCTATGAAATACAGTGTCATAGTGGCTCTTATCCAGTAGCCGTTATTTTTTCCCTAGCCCATAAGAACTTCTTCCATATGTTAAAATTTTCTTAGCCTTTGGTATACATATTTAACTTTGGCTATTACAGCATAGATGCTACGAATCTACTGTGAAATTTCTAAACTTCAGGGCAAAAATCAAGAGACAGCCATAGAAGCCTTACCTATTACTTTTTTGGAGAAGGGCTGCTTCTAATTAAACATCTCTCAGGGTATGAGGAAAGCACTCTTAAATTGGGATTTGTCAAATTAGGAGTATATCACCTTATGACGAACAAAATTCCAATTAATATTAAGTATAAATTGGGAAATGATCATTGGAATTTAAATCTTATTTCTTTTAGAAAGCCTTTCATGATTAAATCACCTTTATTATAAATCTTTGCTATCTGGGTCAGTATAGTAAGTAGATTCTCTAGTTTTGGGAAAATAGGGAAGAGGTTTTTGTATAAATAGGCAAAAGTGCAAGTCAGTCAAAAAGTGGCTCCTAGTCAGTTTCCTAATTCACTGTAGTTAATTAATTTCCCTTCTTGCTATTTCCAAACTCCTTTGTGCCTCTTGTAGATCCTGAAGTATGAGTGAGGAAAGTTTGTAAGTTGAGAACTCAGTCTTTTCTTCTTCTTCCCCCTTCCTACCTTCTCTTTCTCCTCTACTTGCCCCCCAGTTTTGGTTGCTGTTAATGAAAAATAAAATAGAGTGTTTTATTGTTTTTTTGTTTTATGGGTAAATTTAGGTTTGGTATAGTAAACTATTTCCATTAGTTTTTGATTATATTTAAATGCAAAAATTTCATCCTATGGTGTACCTGGACTTTGCATTTTTCATTCTTCGTAATATATCCAGCACCCATAGTCAATATCAAATGTTTGAATGTTAATAAATGGCTGAAAAGGGAACATTTTGGTTTAGGCACACAGAGCATCCAGGCTAGAGCTGTCTGAGATTTCTCTTCCCTCAGTCCTTTGCGTGTCGCCAATTGGAGATGCTGAGCTTTGTTATAGGTGAAATGTCAGGCGTTTTAGCATGTTTTTTCTAAAGTGGCAATTTCACATGTAGATGCTGTCTATCATGATACTGATGTATGTTGCTTTATCTTAAAAATATATCGGCTTCTTTTTCCTTGTTGATTTAAAAATAATTATGTTTGTGTATCCTACAGAAAGCATTAATATTTAAGCAACTGTGAATATCACATGGGGCAATTACAAATCTTAGTGCTTAGGGGCTGGCTCTTCCTATCCTAGTTTGGCCATTAAAAGACTGAATAACTGGGCAAATTAGGATAAACCTTAAAGGGGCTAAAACTTTGTTTAAATTAAAATCTTTGGAATATTATTGTTATATTAAAATAATCCCTTTGGAAGAAAGATTTCAGATCTCTATGAAATACTAGATAAAATAGATTATCTGAGAAGTCAACTGAAATACTAAAAATAATGTGGGCCTAAATTTTCAGAATTCAGTTTTTTCTTCCTTTTAGCTGTGCTCCATTGAAGTAACTTGTGAATCAGCCAGTGTGATGGCTGCGACACTGGCTAATGGTGGTTTCTGCCCAATTTCTGGTGAAAGAGTACTGAGCCCTGAGGCAGTTCGAAATACATTGAGTTTGATGCATTCCTGTGGCATGTATGATTTCTCAGGGCAATTTGCTTTCCATGTAAGTAACTGTTTAATCTTAATTTTCTCTGGCAAGAAACTAGTCTGGACTGGTTCTTGTGAAAAATGCAGTTTAAAATTTTTGTCTAAAGCTGTACATTAATTTTTGACAGAAAGGCTTGTTTTCAAGGTTAATTTGTTACAGAATTGATGAAGAATAGAGTTAAGAAGTCTACCAGATGTTCTTAAGAACTTGCAGTTTAATTTTTAGAACCTTATCACTTCTACTTTTAAGGCATTCCAATGTTCAAGGTTAGTAGAGGCTTTCTTCTAGTTGTTAATGTTTAGCATTATGGTGATTACGTGCCTCAAGAATTCCTTATAATGAGAAAGAGTGCATAATTGTAATGTTTAACGTCTTTGGTTACAGCCATAGATGTTTTAAAGGGCTTAAAGTATGTTAAAGTTAAAACTTAAAAATACACTGCTTTAGGGCCGGCCCCGTGGCTTAGCGGTTAAGTGCTCGCGCTCCGCTGCTGGCGGCCCGGGTTCGGATCCCGGGCAAGCACCGACGCACCGCTTCTCCGGCCATGCTGAGGCCGCGTCCCATATACAGCAACTAGAATGGATGTGCAACTACGACATACAACTATCTACTGGGGCTTTGGGGGAAAAATAAATAAATAAAATCTTTAAAAAAAAAAAAAAAATACACTGCTTTAAGCTCTGTTCTGCATTTGCCACTTGTGAAATGTATGGACTTTTCTTATGTTATTCTGCTTATGTCAACTTCTAATGCCCTAAAAATTTTTTTTATTTTGAAAATTTTAAAACATAGAAAAATAGATGCATTTAATGTTACCCATCACTCAACTTCAGTAATTATCAGTACATGACCATTCTTGTTTCATCTGTCTGTACACCTACTTCCCCCACCCTTGTCATAGTTCAGTATGTAATTCTAAATGATAAGGACTCAAAAAAACTTGCAGCACCATTATTACATATAAAAGAAAAGTTTTAGGGCCGGCCCAGTGGCGCAAGCGGTTAAGTGCGCACGCTCCGCTGCGGCGGCCCGGGGTTCGCCGGTTCGGATCCCAGGCGCACACTTGACGCACCGCTTGACAAGCCATGCTGTGGCAGCGTCCCATATAAAGTGGAGGAAGATGGGCATGGATGTTAGCCCAGGGCCAGTCTTCTTCAGCAAAAAGAGGAGGATTGGCAGATGTTAGCTCAGGGCTGATCTTCCTCACCAAAAAAAAAAAAGTTTTAATCTTTAATATCATCAAAATATTTAGTCAATGTTCAGATTATCTGGATTGTCTTGTAAATTATTTTATAGTTCATGTGGTTTGGGGTGCAAAGGGCCATACATTGTGATTGGTTGTGTCTCCCTTTATATGTTTTTTTTAATCTATAGTCTCCCCCTTGACCTCTCTCTTTTTTCTTGTTATTTTTGGTTGAAAAATTGGGTCATCTATCCTGTACAGTTTTTCAACAGTCTAGATTTTGCTTATTACACCCGTTCCATTGTCCTTTGTGTTGTCTGTAAATTGGGAGATCTCATTCAGGTGATTTTTTTTTGTTTTGCTTAGTTTTATGCAAGATTACTCCTAGCAAGAGACACTCAATGTCTGAATGTTAGTAAGCCATTAATGAACACTGCCCTGATGATATTAATTTTGTCTTTTATCATAATTATTGTCAAGTTTTACATAATGTAAACTTAAATGTTTTGGGGCTGGCCCCGTGGCATAGCAGTTAAGTGCACGGGCTCTGCTGTTGGCGGCCCAGGTTCAGAACCCCGGGCGTGCACCGATGCACCGCTTGTCAGGCCATGCTGTGGCGGCATCCCATATAAAGCGGAGGAAGATGGGCACAGATGTTAGCCCAGGGCCACTCTTTCTCAGCAAAAAAAAGAGGAGGATTGGCATGGATGTTAGCTCAGGGCTGATCTTCCTCACAAAAAAAATAAATAAACTTAAATGTTTCAAAGAGGATTAATTTGAATTACCATCTTTATCTCTATTCCTCATAATTTCTCTGACAGTATACCACAGAAAATCTTTTAAGAAGATATAATTACTCATTGTTTTCTAGTTGTAAAATATTTTTTTGAAAATAACTTTTCATATTTAAAAGCAATGCACACTTATTATAGAACAATTAAAAAATATAGATATGCAAAAAGAATAAAATAACATCCATAGCCCCACAATTTATATGTAATCTACTTTAATTCCTTAGAGTATATCTTTCAAAAATTTTTTCTATTTAAATTCATCTTAACTGTTTTATAACTGTACTTTCATTTACTCTATTATAAACATGTTGATGAGTACATTTTTAGTGTTAGAATTCTACTGTATGGATATATACCATAATTTCTTAACCAATTCCCTTATTGTTGGACATAACTTTTCTTATTTTAAAATGTTAACATGAATGTCTGTTTTTTCAAATTATTTTCAGGTTGGTCTTCCTGCAAAATCTGGAGTTGCTGGGGGCATTCTTTTAGTTGTCCCCAATGTCATGGGTATGATGTGCTGGTCTCCTCCTCTGGACAAGATGGGCAATAGTGTTAAGGGAATTCACTTCTGTCACGTAAGCATATTTTCTTAAGGAAAATAATGATCATATAAGTTGAGCCATCCAGTGATTCTATTTTTTTACAATTTATTTATTGTTGGCTCTCTGCCTGCCTGTCTGCCGGTTACTGGGTAGCCATGGAAGTACTCATAGAGCAGCTTCAGATTGGCTCTGCCAGACAGCTCCCATATAATCATTCTCACAGAAAATTACAATTGTTTGATGCTTAGATTTTAATTTTCATGGTTGTAATTAGTTTTCAGTTTCCTAAAGCTCAGCAAAAGATATTAAACTTGGAGAACTAATTTAAAACCCAACATAAGATTATTATACTTTATTGTATCATCTTTAATTATGCATGGTTGAATATCTTTATCCATAAAAGACTGCCTTTAAAAGTCTTTTTTTTTTTTTTGAGGAATTGTTACTACTCAACTAGTTCAGTATTTTATGTTGTTACCCAAGTCTTGCTAATATTTCAATTTCTGGTTTTATTTACATTTACTACTTCCTAGAGTCTGCATTGAGTACTATAATATTTTATGCTGACTTTCTTAATTAAAATTCTAATTTATTTTTCAGTTTTTTGTATTTTACAAAAACTAGAGAATGACATTGGATTGCTTATAGATTATAATAGATTGTAAACAGAGTATTTATTTATATTTTGTGGTGTTGCATGGTTATTTGATAGAAGAATTCTTTCATGTGGCCGTTATAATGCCCATTTCGTAGGAAATGAAAGTTAAATGGTTTGAGTGGCTGAGCCCTAGGGTCATGTTAGTAAGCAGTGTTCTCAAAATTTGTATTCATATCTTCTCAATCTGACTTCAGTCCTTTTCTTGCTGCATTATCCTGCTTTATTAACTTGCAGTGGTGCTTTCCATGAGATAAGTAGTTAGGTTGAACAGTATAATTAAAATATGAAAAAAAAATAGCCAGTGAATAGCCAATTTCTTATACTTGTTCTCTTTATTTACAGGATCTTGTTTCTCTGTGTAATTTCCATAACTATGATAATTTGAGACACTTTGCAAAAAAACTTGATCCTCGAAGAGAAGGTGGTGATCAAAGGGTAAGCAAAATTCTTATTTAGATTATGTAATTTTTTTTAAGAAAGAGAAAATGAGATTCATCTGTTTAAATAAAACTTAGTTTAATTGTTAGTGGCCTCATATCTTTGCTAATAACAAATTAGTGTAAACAAACTTTTGACATTTTCATCCTAGACCAGTAGTACATAGATATTAAATACTGCTGTTTTATTTAAATTGAAACTAACTGGTTAGCCTAGCAGCGGAGTTCTCCCCTCAGCCCCATTTTTATGCTGTTCTAAGAATATTTTTAAGAATTGATTCTTTTGAAAGAAGATACATTGGAAAGTGCTACATACTATAAAAAGAAAGCCTTGTTTTTACTCTTAATATTTGTCAGTTATAGTCTTGAAGTGTATTTTGATGTGGATGGATATGTAAGTGAAAAGGGATTATAGTATTAGTGAAAGACCTTACAAAGCCTCATAATAAGTTTTATAGGCCAGTATAGATGAAATATTTTTCTGTAAAAAGTGTTTAATGCAATATTCCTGGTGTTCTTATTTTAAAGTAATATTTGTTTATTATCAGTGAGTTTGGCTTCATATTATTGCACATATATACTCCTTTTTTTAGAGCTAGTATTAAGAGTCAGGACTTAAATTTCACGGATAAGATTTCTTTATCTTCATAGTTGTTGACTGGACCAAGGGACTTGTTTTGAGTTTTAATTAAATTTCTTTGCATCCCATATGGAAAATGTTTATAGTAAAATTACCTAATTAGACTTGAAGCTAATGTGAAGCACTAGTAAGTAGAAAATATTTTTAATACATACTAAGTCTATTTTCCTATCATTAATTCCAATCAAAGTAACTTCTAATAATATATGAGAATTATGCAAAGCCGACAGAATAGAAACTTCCATGGGAATCAACATGAGTAACATGGAGCAAAACATCAGATGGTGGTGGGTGAAAATGTTAACAGATTTTAATAACATTCATTGAAAAATGCCGTTTTATAGCTTGGACCTTTCTTCACTCAAGTGCACTAATAAATTATGTATGTTGCTTGAACAACTAGCATTCCTTTGGACCATTGGACTATGAAAGTCTCCAACAAGAACTTGCTTTAAAAGAGACAGTATGGAAAAAAGTGTCACCTGAGTCAAATGAGGACATCTCTACAACTGTAGTTTATAGAATGGAAAGTCTGGGAGAGAAAAGCTAAAGAAATGGGTTCTAGTTTCAGAATGTTCTTCATATAACCTTTCAAACACCTTTAGCTTTTTTGCCTACTATAAATATTTATTTGAGTTTTTTGTGTTCTCAACCTTGAGTGCTGGAACCATAAAGCTTTTTTTTCTTTTAATCTTTGTATAAAGATAATAGATTAAAAAGTGGATTTGTCATTCTTTAAGCAAATTTGCTTTATTTTTAAAAATGCAAAAAGGAAAAATTTCTTTAAAATTTTTCTTGGTATAATTAAAATTTTAACTATATAGTCAGATTCCCATTTTAAAATAGTAACAGAAATTTGTAGTTTCTTCGTTCTAAAACCCACACATTTGAACTGATAAGCTTCATTACAGTTTCTTTTTTCTTTTCCAATTTTAAAAGTGACATGATGTCTGTAGTGGCAATAGAAAGTATTTCTATGCTCATTATAAAACTAAAAAGGCAAAGTAATGAATCCCAAATTATTTAATATAGCAGTAGATTATAAAAATACCTTAAGTTTACATTTTATGCCATTTTTAGTGATTGGCTTTAAATTTTTAAAAATTCATTTTAAATTTTATCAGACACTTTAGAATACGTCGTGTCGTTGCTGTTTCACTTGGCAGCTCCTATGTTCTGTCAGAATTGTCATGTACAGGAGTGTCTTATGTTATTCAAACATTCCAGCCAAAGAATTTCAGATGTAAGATAATGACATGTTTTATTGTTAAAAAGCTATAATGGTTACTCAGAAGGAGTGACAGTGAGTGTCTTCAAGTGAAATGTTTACCTGAACAATTTTATTTTCGTTACTATCCACGTAACTTTTTCTGTGCTATATTTAAGTATGAATGATTAATCTTGGTTTTTAGTTTTTAATATTTTTATTATCCTAATAATTTCACAAATGCTAATGAATCTTTTATGATAAATTATAATAACTCATAGTTTGTTCTATTTGAACTCTTTTAGAGTACTTAGGAAATGAATTCATTCTGAAGGTAGTAAGTATGCTACTAAAATATCTGTTAGATCTGAATCCTTTTGTTTGGTTATAAAAATGCAATATTGAGAATCAAAACTTGTTTTTTAGAGAAGGACTATAGATTCTACACAACTTGATTTCAGATAATTCACAATGTTTAAAGTCTGTCTTGGCAAAGTGATTGTAAAATTCTTAGGACCTATTCACACTTCTTCCTTCCTCCATATACCTCTTCAGTTCTCCCCACAGTTCCCCACAGCTTCAAGGTGTTTTTTTGTTAATTGATTTTGAACTTATATGGAGGGGTCGTGGGTGGGGTCTAGAAGGAGAACTTGATATGCAGTTTCTTAGTGTCATGGCATATATGTGGTAGGGTAAAGTCTGTGTAAGTAAATATAGTGTAGCAAAAAATATTTCACTGGGTAATTTAGATACTAGTGCAGATATAGATATAGAAGATCCTGACCATGTGATGTCTTGAGGTTGGGAACTAAGATATTACGAAAAGAAGTTCCCTCCCAAAGGTGTTGGTTGAAAGCCTTTTGGGCCAACTTAAGTATTAAACTTTTATATATTTAAATAATTACATATTACGTTTTAGAGGATTTCACGGTTATTTGAATGTTCCTCTAAGGTACAGATGCATGTCCTAACTGCTGGATGCTTCTGGTTTGGCCATTTACAGGAGAGTGGTGTGTCTGAAGGCCTTGCCTCGCTACACCTTTGGACAGTGTCATTTGTATTAGTTTCACTAGAGTCATTTGTGGTTTGGAGAACTGAATGCCTTAATTGGTAGTTTGCAAAAAAGTCTTTATTTTTCCCCCTATGCTCTAAATTGTTACATTTTACTGTTTCACTTGAAGTTGGTTTTAGTTTATAAAATGAAATGTTGATGTTTCATTTTGTGTTCATATTTGTATAGATTTCAAAATCATGATAATTTGTGGCACTTATTACTATGTTGGTAAGGCTTAAATGCACACTTATCAATGAAATAGGGTTATCCAAGCTACTGTGTGTATAGAATCTTGTGAAGGATGAGCATCCAGAAATTTTTGTAGGAACGTATAAATGGAAGAAGGGGGAAGATATTGTGAATAGGCCCTCAAACTTTACTTTAGAAAGAAAAAAAGGAAAATCTTTGCCAGATTTAAGGACATTATTTTAATTCCTTCAGCATTTTTAATACCTTTTCAAATAAAGTTCTTGAAAAGTACCCAGTGTTGTCGATTTTAATGTTTCATGCCATTACTGATTCTTGATATTCAAGCATTTAGAAGTTAGCATATTTGTTTTTCTTTTTTTTTCCATCGTTAACATTTCATTTGAAATGCATATCCTTCCTGAAATACTTTATTTTTAGCATAAATGTTGTGCATTTTATCTTAGTGTTTGGATGAAAACGTTTGTGTTATTTAGCTTTCTTTCATTTGCTTTGTATATTTAATAATGTACCTTTTATTTTCCAGTATGCCTACTTTTTGTATTGTACAATAAATTTATTTTAAGCCGATTTTGTTTTTTTTTTTTTTATGAAAGCAACTCCAGCATTTTAAGTACAACAAATAGTTGGAATTTTAACTTAAAAAACATTCTTTATGAAGATACTATTAAAATGCTTTATATTTTTAATTAATTCTGAGGCTGCTATGAAGAGAAACTAGAAATACTCAAAGGGGCTTCATTTGATTCTTTTTTTTTTTTTTTTAACTCAGTATAGTGTTGGTGGGGTTTTTTGGGGGGAGGATGTTTTCCTATTGGTTGTACTAGAAGTATTTGAATAAAGACTTTTCTCCCAATTTTTTTGTTGTTTTTCCATTCGACAACTTAAAAAAAAAAAACACTGCCCTATTTGCAGGTTCTTTCTGCTTTCTGAGGAAGAATATCACATGTTAATCACTATGTAACTGTTGTTTTATGTGTTGCTGTCTAGAGTAGGAAAAACATACTGCTAAATCGAATGAAGAGATCATAATGTTGCTTTAGAATAGAACTGTCAGTTTCAGTAGAATTTATAGTCAGTGGAATAGCTATAATATAGAAATGTACCTTAACTACTTTTTAAGGAATTTGATTTTCAGAAGGAACTTCGTATATTTCCACACCTTGGTTCAAATTATAATGAGGGTTCATGCATTGTAGGTCAAATACAGTAAAAATTTTTCTGATTAAATCTGCTATTCATCTCCAGAGAAGACATCCCAAATATGTAGAAATTTTAAAACTATTTGAAAGGGAAATACCCTTGTTTACAGGAATTCATATTTATCTATGGGATTTTTTTCATTAAGTTCTTTTGGGACTAGTAAATAAGGAGTTCCAGTGTCATGGTATATTCAATATGTATCAGTTTATGATCACTTGCTTTTAAAGATATATTTGGGGTTTTTTTGTTGTTGTTTATAACCCATTTGAAGCAAAGGGAGAGGTAACGCAAAGAGCTTGGGGATCTGGGTCTTAGAACATAGTTTCATAGGCATGGATGGATGTGGAAAGAACCACTGATATATACTGGTATGTCAGTATGTATTTTGATGGTTTACATATAATGTGCATGTGTTGTATGTGTATGTGTTTGTGTGTATAACTATCTATATATATGTCTGTCTGTCCATCCATCCATATTCTGAAAATAGCAGCAATTCTTTCCACATAGTATGTTATGTATAAATGGTTTGTTGATCTATTCCTATTCCAAGTTTTGTCATAAAGAACTCCTAACATTTTTGCTGCCCCAGAATTTATAAAATATAACATATTTTACTTAACAATTTAACTTGAAAGATTTGTGGTTTCTGTTGTTACTCCCATTCACTGTCAGCACTGTCAGGGT